TCTATTGCTCTGGATCAAGGATATCAGGATATACTATGGCATAACCAGTCCCTGCCTATGTCACCAACCTTGTGTCCCAGAGGAACTGCCCTTTGGTTACTATTCTCTGATGGCCTGTTCTTCCTATCTCAAGGTCTATATCTGCTGACTCTTCTTAGAAAGTTGTAGAAAGCTCTACCAGAGGTGGTTCATCTTCATCTCCCAGGTCTCAATTTTCAACCCACCTAAATTAGGCCCTCTGTACTATTCTCTGTTAATATCTGGGCCATTTCCTCTATTGCACTGAACCCCTAGAAGTTCATTTGTGCACTCATTTATTTAATCATTCCTTCTCAGAGGCCTTTCTTTCCCCCTGTTCCACAAGAATCATGTCTCACTCATTTTTGTAAGTCCCATGCCCAGCACAGACAGCAACAAGTAGTTATTCAACTCAACTAAATATTGGGGAATGAATAATTGAAAAAAAAAAACCTAAAACACACTCTCTCTCTCTCTCTCTCTCTCTCTCTCTCTCTCTCTCTCTCTCTCTTTTAGATGGTACTTATTGCTTTTAGTGATACTACGAGATAAAGAAAGTCATCTCATAATATTTAGAAGATGGAACCAGAGATTTTTAAAGACACTGGTAATCTGGCACTGAATTCACCTAGTTTCCAAAGTGTTTCTTTATTCATTTTTGTGTTGTCTCTCCAACATAAACAAGGCATTTACTTTCAGCAAACAGCATGAAGGCCAGACAGGTTCCTACCTCCCATCCGGCAGCATTGATGAACCTGCCAGATACATTCTTCTTCCAGGATCCTACTGTCCTACAGAGAAGGCTGATGAGGCACTGAACAGAGACCATGATCTACTCTCTGGTCTCAAGGCTGAGCTCCTGTGTGTTAGCAACAGAAAAACTTGCACTGATTAAGTTGTAGGTCTTGCCACCCAGCTCAATGGGTGAGGTGGAATAGGAAAAGGTCATTTTCATTGAGATATCTTTCCCGACCACACCAGACCTAAAATTACTAAGGGTAGGAAACTATTTTAGCTATTCAATTGAAAGCAAGAAAGCTATATTGGAGGGTTAGAAATTTCTCCTTTCCATTTACATTAGCCAAAAAATTATAGGAAGATGAGGATCATTTGAAATAYCTTGTCTTCTAATAACAGTTCAATATCTAAGAGAAGGTATTAGCATGAATAAGATATTTTAAATTTAATTTAATGTGAATAACTGGATATTTACAGCATTAGCTTTAACTTTGTGGGGTGAGGACTACAGGCTGCTTTTAATAATGTGAACCATCTAGTCTTAGATGGAATTCTCCAGTGTGATTGAGAACTTACAACTTCAGGAGACTTGAAATATTTCACAATATACTTTCCCATGTGTACAGTTATTCTTTGAGTTATATTAGCTATAAGATTAAAAAAAAAAGACTTGTGATGTACATCTGGACAACATGTTTGAAAAAGTCTGACATAACCAAGTACTATATTTTGATATGCCACTGGGCTTTTGTGAATATTTGTTTTATATGGCATTTTTAGAGCTGTCTGAATTATTAAGCAAATATATAAAAAGTACAAAACCATATACAAACTTTTAGATAGACACTTGCTCTTTTAATCCTTTATTTTGTAACTATCCCTTTGTTTCTATATCTATCTATCAATCAGGAGGTAAAATAGCCTTCATACAGACCTTAATTTTTGGAAAAAAATAGTATTATACATCTACCCTATAGAAACAACCTTTAATAAAAGTGGTAATTGACATTCTAGTTACTCATGAAAGAGCTCCTTAATTTATTTATTCAAGGGCTATTTGTTGGTGGTACCATTGTAAAAGGACACAGGGGTTGAAGGGTGGGACTAGAGCTTTTTAATGTTGTGTCCTATTGAAGGCAAGCAGCAAGCCATTCAATGAAGAAGTAAATACATTTTTATCAAATAATGATAAATGCTATTATTGATCTCTTTGACAAGAACTAAGGTACAAATATGAAGGAGATGGCTATGGCATGCTGTAGAAATCTGAATGACTATCTTTAAACATTCAAGTCATTAAAGTTAAGTCATTAAGTTTAATAGTATCCTTAAAAATTTAATGACATCTTTACCTATGCACTGCCAATACCAAAGGCAAATTAGGTATTAGAAAACATGTAAAAATAAAAGTCACATGTGCTTGGATTAAATTAACAAGCAGAGATTGGAATGCAGACATTGATGTTCACCAGGCACAAGACCCGGGCCAACTTCATCTTGCAAAGACACACTGTGCTTGTTCATAAAACAAAAAGAACATTTCTTTGTTTTTCAAAACTGCTGTGAGGTGAAAACAGGTGAGTGTGTCTTGGGTCTCCACTACCCTGTTACTTGGTACATCACAGAGATCAAATGCACCTCCATCCACGTTCTCTCTTCCACCTCTCACTCTGGAGGAAGTTGGTTGCCCTTTCAGAAGTCTTCCTTTCCTGCCATCCATTGGTCCTACCACTAACTGGCTATTGATAAAGTCAGTTTTTAGATCTCACAAAATGAAACTTAGGACAGGGAAAGGCAAAGTACTACTGTTCTTCTAGCCCAAGAACTGGAAAATGGTGGTATCGCTAGTTACAGTTATTCTAATTATCATCTTAACATGGCAAGTGGATCTCATCTTGGGTTATCTTGATCATCTCCTACTTATTAGAAATGACATATTTATCTTAACATAGTGTTCTTGTGTATTAAAGAGTCAGAGAATATACAAAGGCTCAGAGGCAAGAAGGAAAATGAGGGTGTGATGGCTTTGGGTCAGCTGACTGTCACTGGCTCTCCTGAAACCTGACTGATTTTTTAAAGTGAATCTCTTCCTCCACCTCTAATGAGAATGAAGGCATTTGCCCTGGAGGTAAGAGGGAAAAATCATTATTCTAAGTCAGGACACTGATGTTCTCTCAACTACTAGAACTAGCTTGGCAGAGATCAAGAAGGATGAGAAATTGAACAGAAGGGAGAGAAAGGTTGTTGACAGAGTGTTGACATGTGAATGAAAGCTTGTATGAACATCACAGTATGCCACATTTCCAGTCAAGCCATGTAATAACTGCATAATCTGAGCAAATTGAGATATAGCCAATGGCACTCTATGACCTAGGCATATTTGCCAGAATTGCAGGAACATCCAGGTATTGACTGGCTCACTTCCTCATGGCCAGAATGGAATGGTCACTGGTATAGCATAGCCGGACCCATAGTAGTTTCAGCCCCATCAGGGACAATCCTGGGTCGGTTCTACTGTGACTTCACCTATTTGGGGAGGCAGAAGATATTATCCCACCATTGTAGATCCACACTAGCTTTAATAAAAAGTGCCCCTTTCCTATATACTGGGTGTCATATTTGCAGCGTACAAATGTGAAGACTGAATTTCAGAGCAGAAGGGTAATTTAGGCTTACACAGCTGCTTCATGGAAAAGCTGGAATCTGACTCCAAATAGGTCTGACTCCAACACCTATAATGATTACAGTGGCTAATCTTGAAAGCACCCCAGAAAACACACTCTCAGTGTACTGACTACCATTACAGAAGTACAGTTACTTGCTTTACTTCATGTTTCTACATGTTGTTGGTCAAGTGAAAAGAACAAAGAAAAGCAGCAGAAAATGACACACAAAAACCAAGATTTATGATATTTAAACATTAACTAAACCAAGATTTATGATATTTAAACATTAACTTGCCTGAAATGAGCATCATGGATAACTGAACTAGAAGAGAGTCAAAACTGTAGTGAATATTATCTATAATTATAATGCATCAATGAAATTTAAAAAAATATATACTGCAGTGAAGAACATTATGTCATTTATTATTTCTAGTAAATATGGTTATGTTTCTACTGCTAACATTTTTTTTTTCCTGGACACTTGAGGTTTCTCAAACATGGACTCACCATGGAAAACCCATCAATTAACAATGAATGCTTTTGCCCTTTCATAGAAACAAACATTAAAACATATTTCCCTTACTTATTAAAAGCAAGACTAGCAAAAACAGCCTTTAGTCTGTACTTTTAAGGCCAAGAATCATTTGTGGTTTGCAAAAGTGAAAATTTTAGGTGAAATGAGAGCTGAAGTTCACAACCAGGATTGCTTAATTAACTAATTAGATTACCAAGTTAATTCTATCTCCATCATTTGTGAACTAGCTCAGTTCAAACAGTAAATTATGAGCAGACAAAAGCAGTATAAATACGCATAAAATTCCATTTTGGCTTATTCTCTATTTATTGATATCGGTCCGAGTGCAATCATAAGTGAAGAGAAATACTTTATATTAATTGTGTTTACATGTTTACATTCCTTACTTTTATGTAAGGAAGTGTCAAAGTGCTTTCATTCTATAGAAAAGGCATGATCAAAGCTAAGCTCTTTGAAATTAAGCTGAAAATATGTAATAGGAAAACCAGGATACGTTCTGTTACCACATTCCCTGTGATAACTGACCAGTACCAACCAAGTTTGGTTTTCCAAAGTCATCTACAATTTATTTTCTATTGTACTAAAAATCCACTCTTAACTTTTTCTTTTTCCCTCTCAGTGGATTGCATTCCTTTAACAATAGTAGGACAAGATTTTTGTCACAACTGGCCTTCTTATTTTTGTTCCTGTTCTGTACATTTGTCACACAACCAAGTACAAAATGGGTTTTACTCTGGAAAAGTATTATTAGTAAGGAAAGACCTAGATAAAAAGGCTTGCCATACTCCCTGTCTCATTTCATCATAAATGAACAACTACTCTTTCTATACATGGCCTACTACTGACTCAAGTATGTAAAAAAAAATAATCTGGGGACAGATTAATAGTCTTCGATTCACTGTCCTGATATGTGACTTGTGTCCCGGGACAGGTTTTTATTCTTCCTCTTAAAGCAATCAGTACAGAACATGCATCATGATGGGTGCACTCAAGTGATGACATTTCACTAAAAACACATATAATGGATTCAGGAAAATACATACCTGATTGCACTTGCAGATAAGTGACCATAGGAGCCACTGGCTGAAGAGCTGCTACGGGAATTATTGAGAATTGTGACCAGGGAGTTGGGAGATGTCCTTATCATGGTCTGAAGGTCAAAGCTATGATCGGACAGTGGTGATATGGACAGGGTGCGTTTTCGGCTCGGCCTGGCTGACAGCCTGGGGCTGGGGAATCTGGTGCCTGTTATATAAACAAAACAGAACCTGATTACCTGCAGTTGGACTCTATACCTGTTATTGATTGCGACTGGCCTGTGAGAGAGAAGTGAAGGATAAGAAGCCGGCAACTTGTGGTGACAAGCACCGTTCCTCCCCCTTGTGATCTACTGGCTACAATTGAGGAAATCAGGGAGAAATATTTATCTTCCAGTGGCTTACCTCAGGGGAGCTCTGTTTATTAATGTGCAGGCAAAATGATAAATCGCTAAACAAAAGGGAGAGACTTTTATGTGTTATCCCTCTCATTGCTAGTGATTTATGAATCTGACGGCTGTTTAGATATTCCCATCATTAATTCACCACAAGCGACAAAGACAGTGGTTCCCACAGTTGCAACACACCGCCCTCCCCACCCCTGCACACGCCATTTTAAGGCAATGAGCCGAAGGAAAATATGAGCTAGAGCATCCTAAAATAAAACTTCAGCTTCGCTATGCCCTTCTTTCCCCCATGATTTCTGGAGTTATCTGCTCCCTGGAATGCTTAAAGCATTACTAAAACAACTTATATTACCCTAAATCAGTGGTTCTCGATTGGGGGTTATTTYGTACCCCAGGAGAACTGTGACAACATCTGGAGACATTATAGGCCTCACAACTCAGGGAGTGCTACTGGCATCTAGTGGGGAGAGGCTAGGGGTGCTGCTGAAATGTACAGGGCAGCCCCATAATAAAGACTATCTGGCTCAACAGTAGCAAGCTTGAGGACAGCTGACCTAAATTCCCCAAACTCGAAAAACACAGATCCCAAGAAACATTAAGTCTTGGGATGTTATTTGTGTATAGGTTTTCCAAGAGGGCAGACAAAAATCTCTTGAGAGTGATAATGAGATTCCACGTGCATGTTAATTTTTCTCTGGAACTTGCTTCTCCAATCAGAACCAACAGAGGATAATGCATTTATTAGAATTTTTAGCCTTCAAGAAGATTCCACCCTGCAGTCCTGATCTGGAGATGAGCAACTCATCTTAAGATTCCAACTTAATACAATTGGGTTTACCTGAGGAATTAAAAATTAAATTCCCATTTGCATTCATATTTGGTAAATATGAAGATCTGAATCTCTTAGGGAAGAATGTGGCCCACAGGTTCCACTCCCACCTTTGAGAAGATCACATTTATGACAGAGTTATCGGACCTAAAATTTAACAAAAGAATAGAAACATAATCCCCCAGGAAAGAGGCAAATCAAACATGAATAGCTTAAAACACCAACCAGGGTTTCTACTATATTATAGCATGGGTATACCTGCTTACAGGAAGGAGGCAATTTTGAAGTACCCAGAAAACTGAAGTACTAGGTAAACCTTCTCTACAGAAAAAGGTGTAGGCGCTTGATCCCCGGATAATTCACTAGGAATACTTTCTTCACCCAGAGATGGGTCCTGACACAAGTAAMGATCAAGTGAGCTTTGTGATAATTTAACGAAAAGGGTTAGATGAATATGAAAGCCTGCCTAGTTAATACTGTAATCACAAACTGGAACTTAGTTAGTACTATCCTTATATACAACTGGAAAACCAATTTGACAAATGTGGTGCCTACTCAAATTTTTCTTTTGGGCATATTAAAAATGAGTTTGTTCATTAAGAACAGTTTCATTCCCAGTCTGATTTAGGGCCATGTTGGTACAGAACTTTAATCCAAACTAGCACACCTTTTACTATTTAAATCAGCATTTTACTTTTACTATAATATTTGCCTTAAACATACCTATTTCACATTCTGATTTAATCATGGAAGGTTTTTAAAGAAGATAGGCATACCACTTCCTAACATTCCAAGGATAGAGCAGACTTACTGTTGATTTCCATGTAATCCTGGATAATAACCTTTCTCAATGGGACTCAGAGTTAAAAGCAGCAACACACGCTAGACAGCACTTGTCCCTGGAACAATTTTAGCTTGTTAACTCACTAACTCTTGCARTGATGCAAGAGATCGATAAGGGGGGTCATTGGACATAATAAAACACCAGAGGCTTCACATCCCCCACACATCATGCAAAGATTGAGCCTGGGGCCTTGCGTGACCTTTTCACCCACCATGGAACCCTTAGGGTCACACATGGCCTGCTTGGGATATCTCTGTTTTTCCTCTCCAACAGTGGTTCTCAGTTACAAGGGTCTGTGTCAATATAAACAGTGTAGATCTCAGGGGCCCTCAACTCTAGGATGTTCTTTATAGAGATTACAAGTTTTCATATCCTTTAAGGTGCCTCTAATCCCAAAAGGAATAATTAGAGCCATAGACAGACCTGTTTATTCTAACATGCTACATATAAATACTCTAACTTCACCTTGCTGAAACCCAAACATGCCTACCATTGGCACATCTACAAATCAGGTGTGTTCATCTGAAACCATTTATTGTGGTATCTGTCAACGAACTAGTCCCAAAGATCCATAACAATGGATCAGCCTGATCAGGTGGATCCCAATTTGGATTTACCACTGTAGGTGGCAATGTAGGAACTTAAGATTAATGTTTCAATTCTCCGTTGGACAAATCTCCTATGACAGAAATTCCCATGCGCTCATCACTGTAAATTCTGTCTAACCAAATGCTATTTCAGCTATTTAACAGGGAAGGAATTTAGTACTTTCCTACCGACTTTTTAATACGTCCTTCCCAAGTAACTGAGTGAAGGAAAAGAAGTGAGTGCTGTATATGGGGACAGTAGTTTGGGGGTTCCAACCGAAGGGAGTTGCTAGAACACAAGGTAAGCATTTTCAAGGCAGCTGAAAGGGAAGCAGTCCTTCACCAATCAGGCGGCTGCCTTCTGAAACAGAAGCCAGAGCATTCTTATTGTTCCAACAAGAAGAGTTCCAATCTGGCTTCCTGTTAATTGTTTTGTTTCTCTATGGTAATAAAAAATTCTGACAAAGAAAAAGGAGGTATCTTTTTTATGTGATGAATGATAGGACATCTATATTCCTACTTAATGACAATCAATTTACCATATACTCCAGCAAATTAAAATTCCTTTAATTAGTTTTTACAAAGTAAAAGGGTAGCTTCATCCTTTATTTAGATAAAAACCGCCACTGCCTGACTAAATACATTCTCATCAAATACGGAAAGTAATGTGGGCTGACCTTCCAAGGAGTCTCTCTTATTTTAATTCTTTATTTGCCGATTTTAAATAACTGATTTGCATAATAACGCTGAACTTTTTCCCCCAACAATCGCTAATTGAAATGTGGTTATGATGAATCTGAAATGCAAGCTCTCTACAGAGCCAAACAACAAAACCCCTGCAGAAGATGTAACATATTTCTTTTACTTCTTTGTGTTTGGGGAGAGAGGGGGGGGGAGCTGCTGAATGGAAACCAATACAGGGTGCTTTTAAAGGCTGCACTGAGGTACTTCTGGGTGGTACTGAAACTAAGGCTGTGGATTCATATCCCTGTGTGAACCAATCACCTTCTCTTTTCCAAACCTGATCAATGAATTGCCAAAGAGATGACAAATGCACACCTTCTCACACAGAAGAACCTAAACAGACTCTAGACGGAAATGCATAAGTTGACTGCTATTGTTAAGAAAAACAAAACTCCCAGCAAATGCCCTATTCAAAGTCCCACTGTCATATCCAATGGGAGGGACTGAGTTGAGGTATGAGGTGGTTGAGGCTTTAGGTTCACCATTCGGGATCTTGGAAAGAATACATGATAGGATAAGTGAAAGTCCTGGGATGTCCTGAAAAGCCATGATCAGGGACTCACTTGTGGTCATCATACACCTTAGGGATCCCAAAATACATGATGCACACAACTCATGAGCCCATCTTCTTCCACTGCTTTGTAATAGAAGTAGATTCTTCTGATCTTTTTTTCCTAAATGTATTTTATTTTTTTCTTACATGTAACTATTTTGACCCTTTCACGTACTCAGCAGCTACAAAATATCTTAATGAAATATAAGTTTTAATGTTCAGAAGATAGGGAAAAACAATCATTTAATGTAAAGAATGCAAAAATAATTAGTTTTTTTTTTCACTTAATTTTTAAAGCATTAAACCATGAAATCAAGAACAACTGATCAAATGCCCCTTTGTTTTGTCATCAAAAGAATCAGGGCAGGATAATTTACCAATTGTTTTTATTTATATACAACTTCCAAACTACAGTTGCCTGCGTCTTCCTGTTCACTCGTGTCCCTGAGCCAAACAGGAATTCCCAGCTGATCACATCTAAGGAATCATTCTAAAAAACCAAGAGACCAGAGCTCTGAGTATCAGTGGTTCTTCTACCCTTCTCAGAATTGAAAAGTTAGACAGTAACCTAATTTTTGTACCTTCCTTTCCATTTCATAAGTTAGTATTTCTCACCCCCACCCCCACCCCCACCCCCACCCCCACCCCATCAGGGCTTTAGAAAATAGCCCTGTCACTTACTATCCATGGCATGAAGATATTCCATGTGGATGGCCCCTGCACCAGCAGTGGCAGCAGAGGGGAGGATGTCAGCATAGGGGCTGCGCTGGCCGGCCAGCAGGGCCATCTGGTGATAGTACTCCGCAGGGCTGACTCCAGCATGTGGGGCTAGAGGAGGAGACAGAGAGGCACAGTGATAGTTGGAAGAACTACACACTTTTCTTGTGGCATCCCAGGTCCACCTGTCATGCACCCCTTGAATACAATTTCTTTTATGGCTCATTATTCCTTTAACTCAAACTGTGTTAAGTATCTTTTATTTGAAAGTAAAACTGAAGGAACTGAAAGAATGAAATATGTTATAAAGTTTTTGCTGTTCTGCTGAAAAAAAAATCAACAAGAATTCAAAATGATTAAAATGCATCCCTTAAGATGGGGATATATTCTGAGAAATATATCATTAGGGGATTTTGTTGTTGTGGGAACATCATAGAAGTTACCTAAGTGAAATAAGACGGTAATGCTATCACGAGGTGCTATAATCTCATGGGAACTTCACTGTACATGGATCTTTCATTGTGTATCCATCTGTTATTGACCAAAACATTATTATGTGGCACATGGCTTTGTGTACAGAACCATGATTGACCTCCAAAATAAAACAGTTTCTTATACCAAATCACAGCATGTTCACATTTCTTACAATAGTAGACGACTCAGACAACTGTGATATCTTTCCAGACATACTTAAAATACTTCCCTAAGCTCTTGACAGGAGTGTCTGAGTTAATGTTCACGAACACGAGGAGTCAGGGTTTACCAGAAGGAAAAAAAAAAAGGAGAGCACAGTTTTAATGACACACAACTGAATGATAAGCTGCAATTTCATGTTCCATAATTTAAAAGCTCTCTTTTTCCTTTTTTTTTCATTACAAAATCAAAAAGAAAATATACCTATCAATCTAGAGCAATTTACTGGCAAGAGTCAGCTTTATATGAGTGGGATAATAATTGGTTTCCACCTGCCAATTTATGTGGAAAAGCAGCAAGATATTGTAGCAGTTCTGAGGGTGGCCTCCAGATTCACAGAGATCTGGATTCAAACCAGCTAGAGGAGGTTGTTGAGAGCAAAAAAGTAAAAGTATGCCTGTGAAGTGCTTAGTACATAGCATCTGATCAATAAAAGTTAGTGCTACAATGATTATCTACCAACACCAGCATTCTGGCAAGAGGTCTGTGGATTTTTTATATTTGTGTCCATATATTTTTTTACATGGGACATGGTAAAGATAGAAATATCTTTAAAAAATAAAAACAGACCACAGGAGGGAAATATTAGAGGCATTATTTGATTGAGTGTTAACTGGAGACCTGAGAAGCAGGAAAAGGAAGACATGTCAACCAATGGAAGGATGCTTTATCCATTCTCATCATTCTCATCATGGAAAGCAGATGATAAGCACGCTTTTCAGCAAAGTGACTGGAAGTACAACTTACCCCTGACCAGATTAAATTTCCACAAGCCAGGCATAATTCCAAGTCCACTTTGAGCTGCCTCCTGCCCGCCCTCTGTGTGCTCTGCTTGCTGATCATTTCCACAACTCCCAAGCTCTCCGCAGAGATGATGCTCCATTTTTCTCATTGCAAAATCATATCCAAAGCAGAAGAGCTAACTCATATTTGACTGTCTCTAGGTTTTATTTTATTTTTAAAATGGGACTCTGATTTGAATGACAAAACTCACTCCTTGAGGAGAGTACCTTACAAGTATGTTCATTGCATTGAATCAGGAGAAAACAAAACAAACGAGCTAGTAGTTACTGTTGGAAGACAGCTATTCCTGGGAACTCAGTGGACTGGATGCTTCCTAAGAAATGTTGTGTAGCTTCCCACTGTGCACAATCACCCTAGGGAGCAGTTGGCTTGGAGAACATGGAAGAGGGTGCATAGAAGGCACATTAAACATTCTTCAGGGAAATGAAGGGCATGATGTTTCCCTTTGCTTTCAAAACAATCACAAGTGACCTGTAATCTGTTGCATAGAACTCATAACCTCCTATCTGCAATTAATAAACCTCATGGGACTCTGGATCTTAATTCAGAGTTCAGCAATTATGGGCAAACAGATTTGTACATGTGTGCAAAAGACTGGAAATACTTTTCCTAAATATAAGGAATGGGTCATAACTTTATAGTCAGGGTAATACACAGCTCAAAATAAAAGTGATGCGAAGAATAATTAATTGGGAGGCTAACAGAACCAGCAGGAATATATGAAGTGTTATAGAAATAATGTCTAAATTTATTTATTTTCTCACTCTTCTGATTACAGTTTTTATTTCGTATGGTCAAGAATAAAAAGTACATGCAACAGGTTTGGGCCATCACATATTCTGAGATCTTGCTACTCAGACTGTGGTCTGTGGACCAACAGTTTTGACATCACCTGGAAGGTTTTTAGAAATGCAGAATCTCAGGTCCCACCTGATGTACAGTCAATTCTGTCAGGATCCCTAGATGATTATTACATACATTAAAATTTGTGAATTACTGCTCTAATTTGTACACCTGTACAAATGTGTCTCTGAGATACAGAAAAGAGAAGTGTTCATGAGAAGGTAGGGAAAACGCTCAGGTTACCCATACACATGTGGAAATGGCTACAGAGCCAGTCTAATCACATATGGAGAGCAGAAGAGGATAGTAGTAAGGAGCAAGGATTGGGGAGTCAGCAAAACGTGACTTTGAGTTCCACCTCTGCCACTTATTAGCCATGGATAAGCAGGTTCCAAGTTAGTATATCCCTCTGCACCCTGCTATCCTTACCTGAAAATGGAGATAACACTATCCACATAGAAGTGTTAGGAGGTTAAAATAAAATCATGCCCTTGAAGCATGTGGTACAGTGTCTGACACATGGGAAACACTCACTAAATATCACATCTACTTTATATAATGTCCCAAGTGAGGTGCAGGGGGAAGGCAATCTAGGGAATCAGAATTGGCCTAAGACTTACCATCTGTAGGGCTCAGTCCCCGGGCTGCTGAGATCATGGAGAGGGATGGGCTGCTGTGCAGGGATCGGATGTAGTCCATGTAAGGATTAATATAGGGGTGCGGAGGGCTGAAGGGAGACTCAGAAGCTGCAGCAGGGTTCCGATGTGGGGAGATCCTAATGAATGGCAGGTCTGAATACGTTGGGCTACTAGATAAGGCAGAAGGCCTGTGTATGGAGAAAATCAAACACAAGAGGTAAGCATGAGACAAGCATCAGCATAGGCAGAGGCTGTCTGTGAAATAAAATAAATAAGATTTTAAATGACCTTAAGTTGTCTTTGAGAAAAAGTGACAGGCACATATATTTCCAGTACTCTTACCTTAAAATCCGGACAGTACACTGAAGGTAGAATGCCGTCAGGCAATTATTTGGGCAAAGAAAAGTGACCATTGAAAAATTGCATCACACTCTGAATATAAGAAAATAAAGGTCAGCCTTTGGCTTCCCCCATGAGAAGAAATTCTAAAGAACAGGCAAATGAGCTTAAAGTAGTTGCTACAGTTAATTTTTAATTTGATTCAAACATTAGCAGCACCATTTAAAACTTATTTCTTACCATTAGGGGTTGCATAGAGAGAGAGAGAGAGAAAGAGTGTGAGAGAGAAACCCCAAATTCATCTGGTCTGAAGTCTAGGCACACCCATGGCAGGGCTGCCCATAAATGAGAGGGAAGACTAAAGTCTACAGGAAACGTGAAATTGGACATTCCATATATACACGCACACACTTGACTGCCAAAGTACTCATGGGGTGAGTAAAACCAATTTTATAGATTTGGGATTCACTGCTTTGAAGGCAGTTTCTTTTCTCTGTGAGAATCAGCTTTCTGCTTATGTCCATTTTCTTTTCTTTTTTTTTTTCCACATCAGGGATTGAACCCAGAGGTGCTTAAACACTGAGCCACATGCCCAGCCCTTTTGTATTTTATTTAGAGACAGGATCTCACTGAGTTGTTTAGGGCCTCACTTAAGTTGCTGAGGCTGTCTTTGAACTTGCGATCCTCCAGCCTCAGCCTCCCGATATGCTGGGATTACAGACATGTGGCACTGCACCAAGCTTAGGTCCATTTTTCACATGACCTTCTAATTGGCTGTGTTCAGCAAACAATCAGCAACTAAGTACTTCTAGGATTAGAAAGTTGGCCAAGAATGGGATTTTGATCCAGCTCCCGTCTTGGTTATAATGAGCTAAGGCAGAATGCAAGCTTTCAACAAATTCAAGTCAGTCATGAAATACCCCTTGCTGCCACCATCCTGGTCTGCTCTTTGGAGTCTCCTCTGCCTGGTCCCTGAACTCTTTCACACTCACCAACCCCATCCACCCCTGAAGTCCCTGGGACACCATGACTAGAATGGCCAGTCTGCATAGCCCTCGCACTGCCTTGTTCCTTCTCTAGTGGAAAACATTTTGTGTGGAGAATCCAGTGAATTGACTGAAAAGTTAAACACGGGTGTTCTTCATTTTCCCCCTTCACAGAGGGCATGGCCATAAGAGAGAACCAAATCAAATGAGAACAGCAAATTCCTCTTATTCCACTGGCTTGAGGAGTGAAATGAAAGAGAGGGAGAAGAACGTTTTGTCCTCGAGAAGCAAAGGCACTGCTGCCTGGATCCCACCCTCACCACTCTGTCAGAACAGAGCCTTGGTGAACCAACACTGGCCTCACTAAGTGCACACCACAGGTGCTGAAATGAGTGCGCTGAATTTCAAGTGGTGAATTTTCTCTCAGTAGAAAATAAGAGGAAGCTCAAGTATGGTTGGGGGTGATTTCTTCATTATGAACTAAGAAAAAAAAAAAATAAAGCTTTTTATTTGTTACTCAGATTCTACTTCCGGTGAAGTAAAACAAAAAAATCCAGAATTTACTAGATTTATAAGTCACTACCATAAACTAGCTATTTCTTTACAAAACAATGCAAGGATTTCATATCCACTCAGAAATTAGTCGAATTGGGTATGTTTAAATTGATGAACTAGGATGATGTGTGTACATGTACTGATACACCATATAGTAACCCATAAATGTATCACCCCGCAAGTATGTACAATAACATATGTGTCAATTTAAAAAATAAAAATAAAGCAGCCCACCTGAGAAAATCATAAGATAAATAGAAACTGGCATGACCAATTGGCCTATTTTAGCTAGCTTTGTTACTACAAGTTAGCTTTGTGTCACTGTGAAACCTGACCTCCATTTAGACATGTCTATCACTGGTTAAATCCTAAGCTCCATTCAGACATGTTTGTTACATTACAGGGTAAGGGAGATGCTCAAATTCATATATTCTTTCCTTCCTTCTTTCTTTTTTAGTGATTTGAACCAGGGACAGTCTACAACCAAGCTGCATTCCCAATCTTTTTTTTTTTAATTTTTGTTTTTTAAACAGGTCCCATAAAGTTGCTGAGAGTCTCATTAAATTGTTGCAGATGGCCTTGAATTTGCCATCCCCTGCCTCAATCTCCCAAGTCGATGGGCTCACAGGCATGAACCACACCCAACATTTGCTTTCAACCAGAAAGGACAATAAATTCTTCCAATATGAATCAAAAAAATAATTTTTGCAAAACACAAACTTATTTGTAAGTTTATGCTGAGACACCAGCACAGAGGACACTGAAGAGCCGTGGCTTCAAAAAGCCCCTGGGATTTCACCTCCTGACAGGCTTTTTTGAACATAACAAATTCTGTCTGTACGATATGAGCTAAAAGCCAAGGGAAGTCACCACAKTTCTTACTGGGATTCTTTGATTTAGACAAAGATGAGAACCTACTATTTTTCTAAAATTCCAGAGTAGAAAAGAGTACTAAGAATACCTCCAGAAGTCCGAATTCTGTTTTGGAGAATTATGCACAGGAAGACAAATCAGCATCCAGAAAAAATATGAAAATTATGGAGATCAGACTGGAGTGTTCACCAATCCCCAAGAAAGCCAAGGATGCTCAGAGATGGCTGGCACTCTCCTCTCCTTGTGAAAGTCTGGAAATCTGACATCTGCTGTACTGTGTCACTCTCATTTGTCCTTTCCCACAGTTTAAAGGTAAATACTCTGCAAGCTTCCTGTGAGTGAGGATCTAAGACCGGGCCGTGGCTTCCTTGGCAGAAGCATTGAGCTCTGCTGGCCACACACACACAAGAAAGAAGCAACACAAGGAAAGAGTGTTCCTCCAGGATTTGGAGATGAAGTTGGGATTCTTCACTCTATTGCATTCAAATGTGTCCTTTCCAGAGAGATACAGTAGAGGAGATAGGATCCCGGTTAGGTGGATGGGACATGCATTAGACAAGAGTGCAAAATAAGCAAGCTGATATCCTTCAAGAAACAAACCATCTAGTAATTAACTCCTGTGAATGGAAAGTGATCAGGAGTTACCAGAATAGGAGAGTCTTTAATAAAGGTTACTCATTCAGAGGTCATCAGGAACTCTGGACACAGGTGTCAGACCTTCAGCACAGTGGGAAGCATTAAGGGTAGGAGCCCAGCTCTGCTCCCAGCAGCTGTGTGACCTTGGCTATGATCCCCACCCTCTCATTTTTGTACTTAAATGTCCATCAGGGAGGATAACTACTTTGAAAGGGTCTTGAGAAGTTAATATAAGTATCCCCATATACTGAGCCCAGTACATAATGAATATTCACTATATACACACGTCTTTATACATTTAAAATTACAGGTAATACATAAATATATCATCATGTAGATATATATTAGGGGTGCAAATACAGCATTCTATATCATTTCAAATACTGAAATGCTAGGACCTTCTTTCTTTTTTTTTTTTAAAGATTGTTTTTTAGATTTACAGCAAAATTGAGCTACAATAAAGAGATTTCCTGCATCCCCGCTGCCCCCCACACATACACAGCTTCTTGCCATTATCAACATTCCCCACCAGAGCAGTACATTGTTTTACAACTGATGATCCTACATTGATATGTCATTATAATGTGAACATCCATAATTCACATGTCTAATAACATGTACCCAGCATTAGAGTATTACAGAGTAGTTTTACTGTCCCTAAAGTCCTCTGTGTTTCACCAATTTTTTCTTCCTTCCCCCACCTTTCAACCCCTAGAAACCACTGATCTTTTTACTCTCTTTCTAGTTTTGCCTTTTGCAGAATGCCACATAGCTGGAATCATACAATAGGTAGCTTTTTTCATACTGGCCCCTTTCACTTAGTAATAGACATCTGTTTCCACTCTATCATTTTATGGCCTAAAAGCTCATTTCTTTCTAGGGCAGAGTAATATTCCATTGTCTGGACGTAGCCCAGTTTATGTATCCATTCTCCTACTGAAGGAAAGCTTGGGGGGGTTCCTGAGCAGGTTCCTTGCAAAGCGAATTTGGATGCCTGAGCCTGCATTTTTTCCCCTTCTGAGAGCATGTTGGAAGTGTGTCCTTGGGTTTCCCAAGGTTATCTGGCAATAGTCATAAAGTCACATGACCTGGTTCAGAACATAAACTAGGTAATTAAATGCAAGAGTTTTGAAAAGGAACTGGACTTGACCTCAAGTTCTGTCACTCACTTTCACTCGGGGATCAGTTTGTTTACACACAAAACAAAACCAAGAAGATGCTAAGAGGGTTGGAGTCCATGCATGTAAAGATGGGAACTTGGTGTCTGCTGTTTAAGGGAACTTGGTAAATGTCTTTGTAAAACCAGCCAAACTTCTTTTCTTCTGATTCTAGACTCAGCAAAAAATGTCCAAATGGCAATTTGGCTTCCTAGGAGAGCAGCAGCTGGTATTCCACTTCCCTTGCTTGTTTGATTTCTCACTGAAAGTTGGTAATATTAATTATGTTTTCACATCAGGCTCTTGTGAGTTGGGCTAGCATGATGTTTCTCTAGGGCTGACAAAAATGAGTTTCTAAGCCAACAACTCTGAGCATTCAACCTTGAACTACAATGGCTCTAGCAGCCGCCTGACATGGATGTAACTGTATATAAATTAGAGTCTTTCAATAAAGCTGCTTTTTACATTACCTAACAGATCCACTTTCAAATTCTTGGCAGCAAGATCATTTGTCAGTTATTATGTTTTTACCTGTAAAGAAAATCTGAGAGGGAAGGTTAAGCTTCTTAAATTGAACAGGTCAGATGTATGTTCACTACTGTGTACAGGAGCCATTCAAGATTATGACCAGAGGAGGGAGAA